GGGGGGGGGGGGCAAGACAGGCCGCCAGAGGCCTGAAACCGTACTAGCGATTCAGAATAGGTGGTGGAGCTGCAGGGAGAGAGCCACACACGCAGGACACGCGCGCACGCACACACACGCAGGACACGCAGGACACGCGCACGCACACATCCACACATGCAGGACGCGCGCGCACACACGCAGGACACGCGCACACATACACACACGCAGGGCACGCGCGCGCACACGCATGACACACACGCGCGCGTGCACACACACACCCCACCCCCAGAGCTGCAGCTCTGCTGTTTCCCATTGGATTAAACAGAATCTTCTCAGTCATTAACATATTATTTTGTTCAAGGACTGCTGCAAATTTGATTCCCTACATTCAAAATATTTTCAGATCATAGCAACCAAGGGTTCACATTTCTCTCATTTTACAGCACAGCTTTAGAAACTAGTTCAACCCCCGCATTTTACAGACGAGGAAATTGAGGCCTAGAAACATACGGTTTGCCCAGGCTCCCTGTAAAGAGAAACAGCCCTTGGGGTTCTGCGTCTCGGAGCTCTTTGCCCTACACCACAGCCACCTTTGTCCTTTCTATTTCTCTTGTGAAATGGCAGGATTTGGGACCTGATTTTAACCCCAGGAAATTGGAAGAGGTCTCCTACTATTTCTGGTCCTGCCTCATGAAAACATGAGGGCTGGATTTTCAAATATAAGCACGTTTTGTTGCAGTGGTCAGTTCTGCCATCCTGTGTCAGTCCAAAGATCGGGGTGGTGAGCATCGAGGTGCCTATCCCCTCACCTGTGCCCTTTTCTACTCTTGGGAATTGGAAAGCCCCCCTCCTGGTAACACTATTCGAAAGTATAGACAAAGTTCATCCTTAGACTGGAGAGCATTTCATTTGTTTCCTAATGACTTGTACCCTGGGAGCAAGCATTTACTCAAAGGCCTACTATGTGCCTTGTGCACAATATGTACTCAGTACAGATTTCTTTAAAAAAGAATGACACGGGGATGTAAAGTACAGCATGGAGAATATAGTCAATAATATTGTAACCACTATGTGTGGTGTCAGAGGGGTACTATACTTATCAGGGTGATCGCTTTGTAAGGTATCTAAATGTCTAATCACTATGTTGTACACCTGAAATTAATATAATATTGTATGCCAACTGTCACTGAAAAATAAAATTAAAAAAGAGAGAATGAATTAGGGTCAAGAGAAAGGTATGAGCAGGGAGCTGTGGGGACTGGGGGAAGAAGCAATCTATCCAATGGGATGTGGACAAGAAAGGCTTCACCCAGCAGGAAGGGATTTTGACTGGAGCCTAAAAGGGTGAGAATCCAAGGGGGAGAGGGAGCGAGGACATCTAGGCAGAGGGAGTTGAGATTGGGTATATCGGAGCATCAGACTGGTATCAGGTGCATGCGGGCTCCGTTTAGGATACAGTCATGTGCCTCATAGCGACGTGTTGGTCAACGATGGCTGTCAGTGGTCCCATAAGATTATAATGGAGCTGAAAAATTCCTGTAGCCTAGTGTCGAAGCTGTGGTAAGGTCATGGGAAGGACGCAGCGTCACTCACGTGTTTGTGCGATGCTGGTGTAAACATGTGATGCTGGTGTAAACATACCCACTGAGCTGCCAGTGGTATGAAAGTACAGCACATACTGTTACACACAGTACATAATACTTGATAATGATAATAAACGACTATGTTACTGGTTTATGTATTTACTTTTTTGTTTTGTTATTTTAGAGTGTACTCTTTCTACTTATAAAAAACAACAAAGTTTGCTGTAAAACAGTGTGCCATGTTCTTCTGGTAGCAGCCTCATACAGCTCGTGTTTACCTGTCTCTCAATTGTATCATTTTCTCCGTGTTTAATTTAATCTCATGTTGTTTTCTGCAGTCACATGCTGTACAGGCTTGTAATCTAGGAGCAACAGGCTATCCCGTACAGCCTAGGTGTGCAGTAGGCTATACCATTTAGGCTTGTGTAAGTGCTCTCAGTGATGTTTGCACAATGACGAAATCACCTAAGGATGCATTTCTCAGAACGCATCCCTGTTGTCAAGCGGCACACGGCTGTACTTAACCCTCAGAGCCTTTGCATCCACATCTGTAAGAAGGAATGATAATTTTGACCTCCTATGAGCTCCCAGATTGTTGCAGGGATTAAATGAGATCATGTATTTGATTTAATTAGGAGCATCTGACTGGGAGAAAGAGTTTACAACCTTGCTTCTGAAGCTTTACTGTGCTTAGTAGTCACCTGGGGAATCATGCTCAAGTGCAGATTCTGATCCCATAGGTCTGAGGTGAGGCCCAAGGTTCTGCATTTCTAGCCAGCTCCCAAGTCGTGCTGGCAGTGCGGGTTCATAGGCTGCACTCTGCATTGCAAGGATTTCAGAGGCCAGTGAATAGGACCATGAACTTTCATGTCAGAGAGTCCTGGAATGGAGTCCCACTATCCTGGGATAAGCTGTGTGTCCCTGGGAAAGTTACTTCCCCTTTCTGAGCCTTGGTCACATCATCAGTGAAATATGTATAATAAGTCCTACTGTAAGGAGCTGTGTGAGAAAGGGAATGAGCTAATGGATATATATCACTTAGTGGAGTGTCTGGCAGCCAGTGAAGGGTAGTTAGTGTTAAAGTGTGGAAGATGGGACTGGAAGAAAGGGACACTGGGGCCAAACTGTGGGGACCTTGGCTTTAGATCTTACTCTGTAGCCAGAGGGGAACCGCTGAAGGTTATAAAGAGACTGATATGGTCATTTAAAAAAATAGCAATTACTATGTGCCAGGCACTGTGCTAAATATTTTAAGTATCCTTCAAGTGAATTCATAAAATCCTATTAGGAAAATTATTATTATCCCCATTTTACAGGTGAGAAAACTGAAGCACAGGGAGGTTCAGTAGCTCACTCTAGGTTGCGCTGCTAGTAAGTTAGAAGAGCCAGGATTAAAACCTGGACCATCTGACTCCAGAGCCTGCCTACCTACTCACCTTGTTTTAGTGCCTGAGTTGAGAACACTAGAAAGGGACATTAGTAAAAGATAGTGCTCCCTTGTTTAATAATTTATTCATTCAACAAACATTTGCTGAACACTTAGCATTATGCTACGGGTTACAAACGGTTCATTCATTGCCCATATTCTTATTGAGCCTTACTACACAAGGACATGTTCTAGGCACTGGGGTACAGCTCTGATCAAAACAAAGTCCTGGCCCATGTGGAGCTCACATTGATGTGGAGCGATTAAGACATGGTTTTTGCTCTCAAGGAGCACCAATGTTATATGACACAAATTGGAATAGAACAGAAGGTGAGAACCAGAGCAGAATATTTAGTAACAGTTCACACTGGACAAGATCTTCCTTAGATCTCACTGACTAAAACACCCTGTGGTCTTCTGTAATGTTTCCCTTTACATATCAATGA